TTTGTGGCACTGTATCATGGAGGAGGGAGGGGGTAACCTGGCCCCTCCTTTGTGGCACTGTATCATGGAGGAGGAGGTAACCTGGCCCTCCTTTGTGGCACTGTATCATGGAGGAGGAGGGAGGGGTAACCTGGCCCCTCCTTTGTGGCACTGTATCATGGAGAGGAGGGAGGGTAACCTGGCCTCTCCTTTGTGGCACTGTATCATGAAGGAGGGAGGGTAACCTGACCCCTCCTTTGTGGCACTGTATCATGAAGGAGGGAGGGTAACCTGCCCCTCCTTTGTGGCACTATATCATGAAGGAAGGAGGGAGGGGTAACCTGGCCCCTCCTTTGTGGCACTGTATCATGAAGGAGGGAGGGTAACCTGGCCCCTCCTTTGTGGCACTGTATCATGGAGGAGGAGGGAGGGGGTAACCTGGCCCCTCCTTTGTGGCACTGTATCATGAAGGAGGGAGGGTAACCTGGCCCCTCCTTTGTGGCACTGTATCATGAAGGAGGGAGAAGCCCTGGCCCTCCTTTGTGGCACTGTATCATGGAGGAGGGAGGGGTAACCTGGCCCCTCCTTTGTGGCACTGTATCATGAGGAGGGAGGGTAACCTGGCCCCTCCTTTGTGCACGTATCATGAAGGAGGGAGGGGGTAACCTGGCCCCTCCTTTGTGGCACTGTATCATGAAGGAGGGAGGGGGGTAACCTGGCCCTCCTTTGTGGCACTGTATCATGAAGGAGGAGGGTAACCTGGCCCCTCCTTTGTGGCACTGTATCATGAAGGAGGGAGGGGTAACCTGGCCCCTCCTTTGTGGCACTGTATCATGGAGGAGGGAGGGTAACCTGGCCCCTCCTTTGTGGCACTGTATCATGAAGGAGGGAGGGAACCTGGCCCCTCCTTTGTGGCACTGTATCATGAAGGAGGAGGTAACCTGGCCCCTCCTTTGTGGCACTGTATCATGAAGGAGGAGGGTAACCTGGCCTCCTTTGTGGCACTGTATCATGAAGGAGGGAGAGTGGCCCCTCCTTTGTGGCACTGTATCATGAAGGAGGGAGAACCTGGCCTCCTTTGTGGCACTGTATCATGAAGGAGGGAGGTAACCTGGCCCTCTTTGTGGCACTGTATCATGAAGGAGGAGGGGTAACCTGGCCCTCCTTTGTGGCACTGTATCATGAAGGAGGGAGGGGTAACCTGGCCCCTCCTTTGTGGCACTGTATCATGAAGGAGGGAGGGTAACCTGGCCCTCCTTTGTGCACTGTATCATGAAGGAGGAGGGAACTGGCCCCTCCTTTGGCACTGTATCATGAAGGGGAGGGTAACCTGGCCCCTCCTTTGTGGCACTGTATCATGAAGGAGGGAGGGTAACCTGGCCCTCCTTTGTGGCACTGTATCATGAAGGAGGGGGGGTAACCTGGCCCCTCCTGTGGCACTGTATCATGAGAGGGAGAGGAGGTACCTGGCCCCTCCTTTGTGGCACTGTATCATGAAGGAGGGAGGGGTACCTGGCCCTCCTGTGGCACTGTCATGAAGGAGAGGGTAACCTGGCCCCTCCTTTGTGGCACTGTATCATGAAGGAGGGGGGTAACCTGGCCCCTCCTTTGTGGCACTGTATCATGAAGGAGAGAGTAACCTGGCCCTCCTTTGTGGCACTGTATCATGAAGGAGGGAGGGTAACCTGGCCCCTCCTTTGTGGCACTGTATCATGGAGGAGGGAGGAGGGGTAACCTGGCCCCTCCTTTGTGGCACTGTGGAATCCTACCGTGACGTCACACCATGAGGTAGTTGGTGCCATTGACAGATGTACCCTATGTAACAGACAGACAGACAGATAGACAGACAGGTAGATAGATAGACAGTGAGTTACCGTCAAACACTGCTTAATATAACAGTGAAAAAAATTACAGAAAAAATAATGTTTTTTCTGGGGTTTTTCTGTATAAAAGTTAAATAATTATTATAGAACAGTGAAGGTTTATTACCTGGTTTATTACCTTTAAAACATAAAACATTTTCTGGGGTTAAATCATCGTCCTCAAAGGTTAAATCATCGTCCTCAAAGGGTTAAACCATCGTCCTCAAGGTTAAACCATCGTCCTCAAAAGGGTTAAACCATCGTCCTCCAAGGGTTAAACCATCGTCCTCAAAGGGTTAAACCATCGTTCTCAAAGGGTTAAATCATCGTCCTCAAAAGGGTTAAATTATTGTCCTCAAAGGGAATCATCGTCCTCAAAAGGTTAAACCATCGTCCTCAAGGATTAAATCATCGTCCTCAAAGGGTTAAACCATCGTCCTCAAAGGTTAAACCATCGTCCTCAAAAAGGGTTAAATCATCGTCCTCAAAGGGTTAAACCATCGTCCTCAAAGGGTTAAACCATCGTCCTCAAAGGGTTAAATCATCGTCCTCAAAGGTGTAAAGATAGCTCACTCTCTCACAGTGTGGGGTAAAGATAGCTCACTCTCACAATGTAGTGTTAAAGATAGCTCACTCTCTCACAATGTGGTGGTAAAGATAGCTCACTCTCACAAAGATACTTCCGTTACTTTCATCTTTTGTGAACAATGTGCAGAGAGAGAGAGAGAGATGCAATATGCTCACTCATTTTAAAGCTAGTTCTAACTCGTACACAACACCACAACTACAGTATGAGAATTAAAGCGGAAGACAGTCACAGAATTTCTTTGGCGTGTCTTGAGAATTTGTTTACGATCAGTTGTGGTGAGAATTTATTAATTTTCATAAATAAAATAAAACACTTTTAGTATTAGGTGTAATGTGTAGCTCTTAAATCCTGGAATTGTTGGAATCCTGGAATTTTTGGAATCCTGGAATTTATGGAATCCTGGAATTGGAATCCTGAATTTTTGAATCTGGGATTTTTTGGAATCCTGGAATTTTTGGAATCTGGAATTGTTGGAATCCTGGAATACAGGAATTGCAAGGCTTTCGGAATCCCTCACTAGGAAACTTATCATTCAGAATCCTGGAAATCTCTAATTGGGAATTCTGGATTCTTCCTTGGAATCCTAGAATATATCACTGGAAATCCTGGAATCCCTCATTTGGAATACTGGAATCCTTTTAAAATCATGAAATCCTTCTTTTAAAATCCTGGAATCCTATAAACCGTTCCAGAACCTCCACTTGGGTTACCGGAATCCTCTTAATCCGAAAAATCCGACTGAAACTCCCACATGGGATTCCGGAAGCCACAGGGTCATTCCAAATACTCCAACGGGATTTTCTCGAGCAGGTCTGGAGTGAACTGCTGTCTGCTGTATCTCCTGATGTCTGCTGCTGTCTGTTGTGATCTATGTCTGCCTGTATGTCTGTATCCTCTCTGTGTCTGTTTGTCTGAATGTGTGTCTGTGTGTCTGTACGTCCTCAATAGTCTATGTATATTATATAAATTACTATATAAATATTTCCCTCCATACTATACTACTTATGATATATCAACTATATAAATAATTATATAAACTTTAATCATTTTTTTTATACATATAGTGTAAAAAATCATATACAACCCACGACCCACTATATACAGCCCGACCCACTATATACAGCACCACGACCCACTATATATAGCCTGGTATACATGGCCTGGTATACATGGCCTGGTATACATGGCCTGTATACATACACGTCACTCTTACCGTTATAAGAAAATATATAAATTATGGCCCGGGTTTTTATACACACACTGCCGGCCATCCCACCTGACGGCTGTTTTGCATAAATGTGTGACCGGGTATAAGTTAAGGTATAATTAGGTGTGAGAGTGAGTGAGAGAGTGAGAGAGAGAGAGGTGAGAGAGTGAGAGAGAGAGACGTAGAGATGGAGAGAGATAAAGAGAGAGTTCTTTAATGAGTTGAGAGTTTTTGACATGAATTGTTTGAAGGAAAGTTTTAATCTCTCTCTCTCTCTCTCTAATTATCTCTCTCTCTCTCTAGTATCTCTCTCTCTCTCTCTCTCTCTCTCTCTCTCTCACTCTCTCTCTCTCTCTCTCTTAGTCCAGTCTCCATGATTAAACCGGATTTAATTCATTTATCAGTCACTATTGGTTCAGTCACTATTGGTTCAGTCACTATTGGTTCAGTCACTATTGGTTCAGTCACTATTGGTTCAGTCACTATTGGTTCAGTTACTATTGGTTCAGTCACTATTGGTTCAGTCACTATTGGTTCAGTCACTATTGGTTCAGTCACTATTGGTTCAGTCACTATTGGTTCAGTCACTATTGGTTCAGTCACTATTGGTTCAGTCACTATTGGTTCCAGTTACTATTGGTTCAGTTACTATTGGTTCAGTCACTATTGGTTCAGTCACTATTGGTTCAGTCACTATTGGTTCAGTTACTATTGGTTCAGTCACTATTGGTTCAGTCACTATTGGTTCAGTCACTATTGTTTCAGTCACTATTGGTTCAGTCACTATTGGTTCAGTCACTATTGGGTCCAGTCACTATTGGTTCAGTCACTATTGGTTCAGTCCCTATTGGTTCAGTCCCTATTGGTTCAGTCATTATTGGTTCAGTCACTATTGGTTCAGTTACTATTGGTTCAGTCACTATTGGTACAGTCACTATTGGTTCAGTTACTATTGGTTCAGTCACTATTGGTTCAGTTACTATTGGTTCAGTCACTATTGGTTCCAGTCCTATTGGTTCAGTCACTATTGGTTCAGTCACTATTGGTTCAGTCACTATTGGTTGAGTCACTATTGGTTCAGTTACTATTGGTTCAGTCCTATTGGTTCAGTCACTATGGTTCAGTCACTATTGGTTCAGTCACTATTGGTTCAGTCACTATTGGTTCAGTCACTATTGGTTCAGTTACTATTGGTTCAGTCACTATTGGTTCCTCACTATTGGTTCAGTCACTATTGGTTCAGTCACTATTGGTTCAGTCCCTATTGGTTCAGTCACTATTGGTTCAGTTACTATTGGTTCAGTCACTATTGGTTCAGTCACTATTGGTTCAGTCACTATTGGTTCAGTCACTATTGGTTCAGTCATATTGGTTCAGTCACTATTGGTTCAGTCACTATTGGTTCAGTCACTATTGGTTCAGTCACTGGTTCAGTCACTATTGGTTCAGTCACTATTGGTTCAGTCACTATTGGTTCAGTCACTATTGGTTCAGTCACTATTGGTTCAGTCACTATTGGTTCAGTCACTATTGGTTCAGTCACTATTGGTTCAGTCACTATTGGTTCAGTCACTATTGGTTCAGTCCACTATTGGTTCAGTCACTATTGGTACCAGTCACTATTGGTTCAGTCACTATTGGTTCAGTCACTATTGGTTCAGTCACTATTGGTTCAGTCACTATTGGTTCAGTCACTATTGGTTCAGTCACTATTGGTTCAGTTACTATTGGTTCAGTCACTATTGGTTCAGTCACCTATTGGTTCAGTCACTATTGGTTCAGTCACTATTGGTTCAGTCAGCATTGGTTCAGTCACTATTGGTTCAGTCACTATTGGTTCAGTCACTATTGGTTCAGTTACTATTGGTTCAGTTACTATTGGTTCAGTTACTATTGGTTCAGTCACTATTGGTTCAGTCACTATTGGTTCAGTCACTATTGGTTCAGTCACTATTGGTTCAGTCACTATTGGTTCAGTCATTTCACTTGAGTCCAGGGGCTACTTAACACTTATAAATACTACCAATAATTACCTCAATTTTTTTCTATACTTACAAAATATTCCTTGAAAAATATCGTGTAAAATTATCCCTTGAAAAAATTAACAGAATATACCAGAATTTTACAGAATTTAAACAGACACTTAACAAAACAACATACTACTACTGTTACTACTATTACTCCTACTACTATTACTGTTCCTACTATTACTACTATTACTGTTCCTGCTATTACTACTACTAATAATAAAGCTGTAATTAATATCGGCGTAAAAATAGCCTAATGCCATGGTTTTTATATTAAACTAATTCACTTATTGGATATATCACTTCCTATCACCTGATTATTATATATAAATTAGATATACATTATTTTGTTGTATATTAATAAATTATAATATTATATCACAGAAGTTGATTAAGTTATAAAGTTAATTATTTATCGTATTGTAATGAGCGAAATATTTCAACACTTTATTTGAGAATTTAAAGGCACAACACTTGTATATTTTGGTCGACAACACTTATGAAGTTTGTCAGAATAATTATAAAGTTTATAAGTAAAAATAATTGTATTTTACGTGTGTGAGAAAGTAGTGTCATAATGTAATCCTCTTATTTAGTAGCACTACCATAAGTTAATGTATCAAAGTATATTCTACATATTTTATTAACTTGATATATATAATAAATACACCGATGAGGAGTAATTTATTGAGGTCATATAAAGGACAGGTTAACAAGAACTACTTTATCTAGGTGTAAACATTTAAGACGGCCACCACACCTCCCTCATGGCCACCACACCTCCCTCATGACCACCACACCTCCCTCATGGGCACCACACCTCACTCCTTGTACCACACCTCCTCATGGCCACCACACCTCCTCCATGAGCCACCACACCTCCCTCATGGCCACCACACCTCCCTCACGGCCACCACACCTCCCCCCTCACTGGCCACCACACCTCCCTCACGACCACCCACACCTCCCTCCCATGGCCACCACACCTCCCTCCACGGCCACCACACCTCCCTCACGGCCACCACCTCCCTCATGACCACACCTCCCTCATGGCCACCACACCCCTCTCATGACCACCACACCTCCCTCTGACCACCACACCTCCCTCATCCACCACACCTCCCCTCATGACCACCACACCTCCCCTCCATGGCCACCACACCTCCCTCATGGCCACCACACCTCCCTCATGGCCACCACACCTCTCATACCTTTATCGAGAAAAAAACGTGAGCCAATGAGCTCCAATCAACGTCATCTGTCGGCAACGCGGCTAACTAAAAGCCCAGGGCTCGGGAGGGTAGCGTGTCCGTGAGCTGATAATTTATTACCTTGACGAATTTGCCTTGACGTTCTTAATGTTTACACATGCACACACACACATGCACACACACACACACACACACACACTGCAGAGAAGGAGAAGGGTACTAACGATGCAGTATGGCAAATTGATGTTTTATTTCAGTACAATATTCAGATACTGTATAACTTGAGAGCATAGTGTGACATACCAAAATTATTTACTGTTGTATAAGAACAATTTAAACTACATTATATTGCACTACATAATGTTAACATAAAACAGTCATAATCTCCATATAGTAATCCTTCAGGGAAAATAAACACTAAAACCAATAAAATATACAAGTCTTGCTGCACGCTGTTGCTGCATCATCTTATAACACAGTGTAAGGCCAATGTACACACACAACAGTAGCCGTAATAATTACAAAAGTTATATCTTTCCCATAATATACAAACAGTGGTGATATTATCTTTTTTCTGTCTTTGGGGGAAACGTTAAACACAAAGCTCAGGGTGTGAGCGGCCACTCACGGCTAAATGTCCGTGTAACCAGATGGACAGACGACCCGCGCCTTTCCACACTAGTGCCATCTGTTGATCCAGGGGCCCTTCTATAGAACACAGTGAAGAAAGGAGTGTGGGGAGGGACGAAAGTGAGAGAAACTACTGGAAAGTGAGAAAATGCTGGAAAGTGAGAGAAAATGCTGGAAAGTGAGAGAAAATACTTGAAAGTGAGAAAATGCTGGAAAGGAGAAAATACTGGAAAAGTGAGAGAAAATATGATAGAAAGTAAGAGGAAAATACTGGAAAGTAGAGAAAATACTGGAAAGTGAGAGAAAATACTGGAAAGTGAGAGAAAATACTGGAAAGTGAGAGAAAATACTGGAAAGTGAGAGAAAATACTGGAAAGTGAGAAATACTGGAAAGTGAGAGAAAATACTGGAAAGTGAGAGAAAATATTATGAAATTTAAGAAAATGGTTAATATTCGTCAATGGCGGCTGATGGGCGTTAAAGTACCGTGTCGTGTGACTTGGCTGGCCCACCATTTGTGACCAGCCTTCTACCGCACACTGAAGACAGGTGATGGCGTGTTCTCTCCCTTATATAACTGTTATTCAGTGAGTTTTTGTGAACAACAGTATAACAATACAAATATTACAAGATCACGATAACCAACACCATCAAAACAGTGTTCTAAGTGTTGAAATTGTTTAGTTTTTAAGAAAAGACAGAAATTAGCGGACACTTTCTTCACCAGGTCACCCAACTGTAGTCTCCACCACAGAAGCAGGTAAGATCCAAGTGACTGAGCTACGTTGTAAATATTGTAGGTTAGATTAGGTTAAGTTAGGTTAGGTTAGATATGGTTAGGTTAAGTTGGGTATGGTTAGGTTAAGTTGGGTATGGTTAGGTTAAGTTGGGTATGGTTAGGTTATATTTTTTTTATGTTTTATGGTCTAACCTGACCTCCAATTTTGTTCAAATTATCGGTTTCTGGTAAAAAAACAGCCAAACTTCCCGTTAATTTGAAAAATAAATGACGGTCAGGTTTAAGTGCTATAAAAACCTGTTCATGTAACTCAACCTGAGGTCAGCCAATGGTCGAATATTTACCGTTAAACCAACGTCCTTAAAGGTTTAAACCATCGTCCTCGAATAGTTAAACCATCGTCCTCAAAGGTTAAACCATCGTCCTCAAAGGTTTAAACCATCGTCCTCAAAGTTTAAACCATCGTCCTCAAGGTTTAAACCATCGTCCTCAAGGTTTAAACCATCGTCCTCAAAGATTTAAACCATCGTCCTCAAAGATTTAAACCATCGTCCTCAGATTTAAACCATCGTCCTCAAGGTTTAAACCATCGTCCTCAAAGGTTTAAACCATCGTCCTCAAAGTTTAAACCATCGTCCTCAAGGTTTAAACCCTCGTCCTCAAAGGTTTAAACCATCGTCCTCAAAATTTAAACCATCGTCCTCAAAATTTAAACCATCGTCCTCAAAGATTTAACCATCGTCCTCAAAGATTTAAACCATCGTCCTCAAAGGTTAAACCATCGTCCTCAAAGATTTAAACCATCGTCCTCAAAGATTTAAACCATCGTCCTCAAAGATTTAAACCATCGTCCTCAAAGATTTAAACCATCGTCCTCAAGGTTTAAACCATCGTCCTCAAATTTAAACCATCGTCCTCAAAAGATTTAAACCATCGTCCTCAAGATTTAAACCATCGTCCTCAAAGATTTAAACCATCGTCCTCAAATTTAAACCATCGTCCTCAAAATTTAAACCATCGTCCTCAAAAAATTTAACCGTCCTCAGTTTAAACCATCGTCCTCAAAATTTAAACCATCGTCCTCAAAAGATTTAAACCATCGTCCTCAAAGGTTTAAACCATCGTCCTCAAAGTTTAAACCATCCTCAGTTTAACCATCGTTCTAAAGATTTACATCGTCCTCAAAGGTTTAAACCATCGTCTCAAGGTTTTAAACCATCGTCCTCAAAATTTAAACCATCGTCCTCAAAGATTTAAACCATCGTCCTCAAAATTTAAACCATCGTCCTCAAAGATTTAAACCATCGTCCTCAAAGGTTTTAAACCATCGTCCTCAGTTTAAACCATCGTCTAAAATTTAAACCATCGTCCTCAAAGGATTTAAACCATCGTCCTCAAGGATTTAAACCCTCGTCCTCAAGGTTTAAACCATCGTCCTCAGGTTTAAACCATCGTCCTCAATTTAAACCATCGTCCTCCTCAAGGTTTCATGCAATAGCAACTATGTCTCTTCGTACCACCATTAATACTGAATTATAAAGGGTTGAGGTGAGTCAGTAATGATAGACTTAACCCATTAAACTGGCACTACTACTACTACTACTACTACTACTACTACTACTACTACTACTACACTACTGTCACTTGGAATCCAGTATGACGATCATTCAGCTTGATACGGGACCAGCAGTCCCGTCTACAGATGTTTCACGTGTGGAGGGTTACATCTAGTGCGGGAGGGGCGACGGCAGTGTCTTTCCGGCGTTGGCGCTTGTCTGCCTCGGTATACAGTCGGGCTATCCTTATACCTTTTCAGTTGCCCGCCGGTGTTATGCTTACTATTCGATACACCATACATACATACATACATACATACATACATACATACATAGGGGCACACTGTATTACCATGGTTGTATTAAGCCTCTGATATGAACCTTAAATAATGTGTGAACCTTAGCTGTGTCTGTATGTCTGCTTGTGTGTGTGTGTGTCTGTGTGTGTGTGTGTCTGTACGTGTGTGTGTGTGTGTCTGTGTGTGTGTCTGTACGTGTGTGTGTGTCTGTGTGTGTGTGTCTGTGTACGTGTGTGTGTCTGTACGTGTGTGTGTGTGTGTGTGTACGTGTGTGTGTGTGTACAATAAGCCAACACATCACTCTCTTTAGCAGTTAAACATTCTAAGTTTATCTAAGCTCTCTCTCTCTCTCTCTCTCTCTCTCTCTCTCTCTCTCTCTCTCCTCTCTCTCTCTCTCTCCATACGTGTTCTTGATATTTCTGCCAGCCTAGCCTAACCCAACCTAACCCCTAACTAACTTCTTCTAACCTAACCTAACCTTTAACCTCAACCTAACCTAACCTAACCTATATACCTGGG